TACATTGTTTCCCTTCCTACAGCAATTGTACAGACTTCTTAAGCTACTAAAATGACTTCATATACCTGTGTAGCAGACTGAAAGATAACCTTCATGTACAGCACACAACATTAAACTCAAAACCCAGTAAGACTAATTAGATACCTGTTGTAACTTACATATGCAAAAGTGCACACTTACAGGATATGTAAGGCATTTTTTATTTTTAGAACATATCTTTTTAATGCCAAAAAGTAACAGCCACTAGTAATTGTCACTTTAAATGCAATCTGAATACCATTGCAGACATAGCATACGAAGATCACTTACAGACATGGTTAGGTACACAGGTCATAAGATGTGCCAGTTGAAGATTACCACTTTATTTTTACATCTGGGTCAGATTGACATAGCTTTTGACATTTAATTATTTTACCAAATAACCATGCCATTAAAACAAAGGCAAATGTACATATATACTAGAACAAACTTATTGGAACTTAACATTTTTACATTACAGTTGGACAAACAGAAAAAGGCTTGTTCTCTAGTAAATTAACCAAATTTGTCCGAAATAAACCCTACCCCACACACCCATATTGTCTACCTTGTATTGAAAAAAATTACAGATGTTCTTAATAAAAAGGCACATTTGGCAGCTACTAAAACTGGCATGCATCTGGCACAGGATTTTTTTCCCTTTCAACCTTTCAGTCACCTGGAACATGACTTCATGTTTGTTTGTTAGGGAGTCAAGTGTGACTTACCCTTAGTTCACTTGATTTGCAACTTTGCAGCAGTTGGCTACTTAATGCACTGTTTTTTTTATTAAAGGCAAAAGGGAAACTTGCTCACAGTTGACAGAAAAATGCACTTTAAGGTTCTTCTTCTTTAAAAAAATGGAAAATAAGGCATGAAATTTACAAACTAAGTTACAAGTGCTTTTGGCTTAGAACTGTACTGGGCCACATGTTTCTTTCCTTACCTAACAGAGCTAAAAAAGACTTCAGCCCATGCATCAAACATTTTGAAATGACACTTCAACAGTTAAAATAAGATATTTAAAGAGAAAAATCTAAGAAGCTGCCAACATTTTTTATTTACCCTTTTCAAATGGATTTTTCAGCAAGACCGTACTTGTTAGCTGAAAAGGTATTCACCTTGAGAGGGGGGCAAGGTGCAATTTTTACATACTGCAGGCCAAGTTTTAAGGAACACCGTTACAATTCTAAGACAAACATTCATAAATGAGGGGCTTTTCCTAACTGAGTTTAAATGCAGAACCACTAGAATCATCAGTACCAAAGGCTGCTTACACACCTGCTATGCCAGGTCAAGACTAGAACTACAGCAGACACCTCCTTTTCTTTATGATGCCACAGGGCCTGTAGCAAAACAAGTGCATTTAATCAGCCCTTGTGGTACAGAATAGACTTCCTTGAATATAACATAATAGAACCATCTCTTTCAAAAGCACATCAAGGACCTGGGTCCAAAACCCACTAACATGAGTGGAAAGATTCCCATAAATTTCAGTGAGTTTTGGATCAGTTGCAACAGAGTAAAAATGATACTGGAGCTTATTCTAATAAGGAAAGTCTAATTTAAGATGTCACATACTAAAAGCAAGACACATGGACACGCACAATTCTGATAACCTAAAACTCAAGAGAAGAGGCCAATAAGTAACCATAAACCGATTTCTCTCGGGACATGGGCCTTTCTACCTTGTAAAGTGACAGTTAAGCAAGAATTTAGAAACAATCACAAGAGCTCACCCTAGAAGTGATTGTTAGTTTATGGCATGGTATTGATTCTGAAACACAGGTCAGGTTTTCTCCAAGACAACACACCAAAATCATATCTCAATTATTGAACACCATGACAGCCGTACTTACCGCCTAGTGACCAGGCAGGGAATTAACTAACTTCTCCTTGCATTGTATTATAAACTGATTTGAAATAAAATGTGCAATGCTAAAAATACCAGCTTTTCCTAGACATGGAGGACTTTTTTTTTTTAAACAAACCTATCCAAGTGATTGTTTTTATTTCTTTAAAAATGAATTTATGGTTATAATCCTACACCGTTACACTGCATTTTAAATCAAAGAGGGAGGTAATTTAGAAATGGCTTAAATATTGCAGTGTAAAAGCACTGTTGACCTCCGTTCATTGAAGGCCTCCATTTCTCACCCTCCCCAGAGTAAGCACCCAGCAGCTGAAGAACAGCTCTTTGTAGCAGTATATGCTGTCTTTTGAGCAGTGTCAGACTTTAGTCTGGGGTCTACAGCAATGCACCAATCTAATTTAGGCAGTGCTAGGCCAACACTGAAGCATGTTTCATCATCCCCTGCTATTTTTCAAGTCATTTTACCAACTCCCTGGCCAGTGTGAATAACAAAATATGATCCCATTTTCTCTGCCTGCATTTAAGGACATTTGTTTTGCCATCCTAGGCACATCAGTCACCAGTACAAACATGGCCAAATGAAAAATTCAGTGCTAAAAGAATTATTTCTCGCAAATGAAACTGACAGCGTATGAGACAAGCCAGTGCTTTGCATCTGTGCTCTAGACCAGCATTTCTCAACCCATGGGTCGCAAGAATATACGAATGTTGCGACTAAACTTTAAAAATGGACCAACACACTTTAAAAATAGATTCTCCTTTAAAGGAGAAAAATGTGGGAAACTGTAGCTTTTCTCTTGCAGGCTGGAAGAGTTCCAGCCTGCAAGAGTCTGTTTGGGCCCCCTGCCCCCTCACCCACTGCTCCACACACTGGGATGTGGAGGTCTGGGGGCAGTGGATCAGGACAGGCCATCAATGTTTACAAATGAGTCCTGGTACAAAAAAGATTGAGAACCACTGCTCTAAACTTCTAGCCTAGATGCAAGGGATCTGGCTGTTTTTTTAGTCTTGTCTTTCATACTTTGTCAGTGAGGGAGTGTTCCTTGCACTGATGAACACTGACACCTTCTGCATGACAGAAGGATGGTACTTGCACTGTAAAGGGAATTTAAATGCTTATCGTGTAGTGCTCGATTTCCTCATAATTAAGGACTTTGGATCCTCAATGCAACTTGGAAGGAAGGTGGCATTATTCCAATTTCACAAAAGGGAAATTGAGGCACAAATAAGATTTAGTAACTCCTGCTAGAACCCACAAGAAGTCTGTACCTGAACCAGGAGCAGAACCTGGCTCTCCTGTACTCCAGTCCAATGACCTAATCACTGGACCATTCTCCCTTCCTAGCAACCATGATTCTGAGCATACAGAACAGGAGATAAGAACTTGGGCATCTGGCGTTGAGGGAGAACTCCTCTGCAAAGCCATCAGTTTTTATAACTTTCCCGTGGTTATTCATTTTCCTTAGTTATATCTGAAGCACTAGCAACTCTACATTGCCTGCAGGACAGGGTTGGATAAAGCGCATATGTCAAAGTCCTCCTTTGAAGCTGAGTTTATCAATCTTACAAATAAAGAGGAGAAATACCATTTTTTTGCCAGGAAAATGGTTTAAAAAATAGATATAAACCTAAAGCTACACAAACAAATTCTCAGTATCTGGCTACAACAAAATTTGCTGCTTAATGCTGATGAAAACTAAACATCTTCTGAAATGTAAAGACCATGTTCTAGTATGATGGAGCACATTTCACTGATCTAATGGCACTGTAAAAAGTTACTCAAATGGATTTCCAGCATGACTAATTGCTCTAGGAAAACCATTGTTAATGACATGGCTTTCTGGGTTGCTGAAATGTATTTGTATCAAAGAAGAAACTTGATGGAAATTTACTATGACCCATGAGCCTTATTAAATAAAGATGAGATACTGCACACTTCACAAACATTACTGTAGTGGAGAATAATAAAACTTCTTTTCTTCAATAACTGGCATGCATTATTGTCACAGTATTGTTTAGAATCAGAAGAGCAGTACACAGGTTTATGGATAATCCATGTCATGATATTTATGAAGGTAAATGCTCTGTCATGTACATTTCTGACACAGTAAATAATTACTGTAAAGATTAGATTTTTTTAAGACAAAGTTTGAAATTCTATAGCACGCTGCATACATGAGATATGGGAAGTTTTAAAATGTATACAGTAATTCACTTCGGGAGAAACCCAGCTCTTTCATTCTAACTAATCTTTGTTTCACAGCCCACAACTCAATTTTTCTTTAAACTTATTTATTACTAAAATACATATACTGAACTAGGAAAAAATGCGTACCACAACATGTGCTTTATCCCCTTTTCAGTGTTTAACTGAAAAACTGAATTGTACATTTGTCGTTGTAATAATTTAAGGTACGTCAGCGAAACAAATATCTGGCTCTATTTCAATTAAATTAAAAACAATCTGCAAGTATATTTATGCAACATTCACTATATACATGATTTACGCAACTTCAAGGCAATTCTATGTATGCTGATTAATCTATTATTAGTAAAACATGACTATAACTATGGAAAATGGCCAGCAAGTGCTCCTTTCACAACAAGTGATGGTGTTTTCATGGCGTGATTAAGTATAGCTAAAAGCCATGAAATGGATTATCAGTAAACCTTAAAAACAACGGAGATATCCTATCATAGATTAACAGTCTCCTAAATGTAGTAGTATAGTTACTTCAGACAATAGTGCTGCTGTTTTCATATTCTGCCGTCATTTTAATGACATAGGACTTTAATCTGCTCTAGTTAAAGAAAGCAGTAATTACACATTTATGCTTCCTGGCAAAAATTTTTTTGAACTGGCACCATAATTTCATAAAATAATAATTAAGTACCTCTTTGGTGAGACCTAGGTACCCACACTATTCGTTGCAACAATTTGTAAACAGGACCGCAATGCAGTGCTATGCCTTTAGTCTAACACAGTTAGGTACCACGGATCTTCCTCACAGTCCTTTTCATGATTTTGGGAGAGTATTTGAAAGCAGGGAGTAAAAGCAAAGGGAAGTTAAGGAGGATACAAAGTTCCCTGTTTGAGATTTTTTTTTTCTTCCAAAAGTGCATAATTTTTTCATTCCAATAACTGGGTCACTGTATGGGACTGATGCACACAAAACTACGTTTTCCATTCTGTCCTGGACATTAGAGATCATTACACAAAACACACTCTCTTCTCATTGGCCAGAGAAGTCCCTCAAGTCTGTTTTCTGGTACAATCAGTTGTCCAATTACTCTAGAACAGTGTCCCATGTACTAAAATAGGAACTTCAAGTCCATCAGTTGCTTTGTGATAATGTCTGCTTTTGTGATTCAGTTTCTGCATCCTGCATTTCAAATTTATCATGAGTTTTTAGTGTTTGGTGTACACATCCTAACTCCTTGGCGCCAGCAGATTCAGTGCATCCATTGCCAGCAACAGACATAGCGCCAGGGAAACGCAACTCCAACAGCAAAGACTAACTCAGGAGGAGTGGGCGTTCTCCAGCAAAGGTGGTCCGTCTCGATGCATCGATGGATGTGTGTGCTCCCTTTTATAAGTTTTTGGAGGAAGCTTTGGGATATGTTGAGAAGTGCTTTGTCGTGGAGGAACAGGTGGCCCAGTAACAGGATGGAGGTCCACATCTTGCTGTATCAAAGGAGGTGATGGCAGATGTCTCCGTGCTACATGTGGAGAAGGAGTTTGAGGGGGTGGGGGAGTAAATGGAGAGGGACTGTTTGGAAAAAAGGTATTGCCGAGTTCACTTTTTCGACCTAAAGGTGGGGGCTGGAGGTGTAGTGGTGAGCTAGAGAAGACATCTGGTGTTCGCACAGGTTCTCGCGGCGGTAAAACAGGAGGGCTTTCAGGGGGGTCTGATATGGAGGTCCGATCTGGCACCGAGTACCTTGGCGAATACACTTTTGAGGTGGGTTGTCTTGGAGGAATTGCTGGTGGACTGTCCATATGTGCAGAAGTAATCTGGAGAAGATAAACATTTAATTAAATGGTTGTTACTTAAACAGCAGTAGCCCCTGAAGGCCTCAATCAGGATGAGGGCTCAGCTGCATTGTTACATGCTATACAAACACAAGTTATCCAACCAAAACCTGGAGCAACAATAAACAAGTGTGAAACAACTTAGAAGAACTGGGGAAGAAGAACAAGTGAAACTGATTAAGCAAGGCAGCAAGTGGGTGGAGCTGACCGGAGCTGGAAGATGCAGGCTCCTCTTATGGGTATGGATGGTGAGGGGTCAGTCAAAAGTAGAGATGGGGAAGCGGGAATGCATCAGGGGGCTGTCATGAGGGACTACATACCCATGGCTGCAAAGAAGAGAAGATTCATGGGAAAGGCTGCAGAAAGGACTGGGTGCTGCAAGAAGCAGACTGGCTCAGTGGTCAGAGCAACAATTCCTGAGGAAATTCCAGCTCAGCTGTTTGATCGGGTGCTGAGGTGCCCATCAGTCCTTGAGCAAGAGCCCAGAGAATGAGTAGGAACACAAAGCACTTTTTCTCTAGAGAACAAGGGACTGGGGGGGAAGAGCAGAACAGGCTAATGCTCTTCAAGGGGGCAAACAAAACACTATTCTGTCCTGAAGACTGAAATAATAAGATCAAAGTGGGATTTTTCAAAGCCACTTAAGTGACCCAAAAGTGTAAATTTCATTGAAGGCAAAGGAGGTTACAATGAACTCTGCCACTGAAAACAAAGGCGAGTAGGATCTCCACTGCGGCTAGGGACAGAAATTACACACTGGTTCAAATCCATAACAACAGAAGTTCAGTGCACACAAACAGCTTTCAAATAGCAAAAACTGGTTTAGGATAAACCTGGATGGATGTAGTATTAGAATTAACTGATTTAGGTTAAATTGGTTTACTTAACTTCTGTACCAGATCCCCTCCAGATTCAAGTTAACTTAGTCCCCCAGCATCCCAGGATGCTTTGCACCTCCCCCAGCCCCCCCAGTCACAGGGTGGGTGGACTAGCCTTGGCCCAAGCTGTCTGCTCCAGTTGAGCAGGGAGGTGTGCTTGAGCTCCCCCGACTTCTGGCCTGGGCCACTGCAGGCATGTGGCTGCATTTCTGGAATCAAAAGTAAATGTCTGTTCACTTGTTTATTGGTTCAATCTAAGCAGCATAGACTAATCTGAAAAGATTGAATTGATTCAGCCTTGGACTTTCTGACTGCCTGTATTTAGCCTAGGTGGCTTGGGAAAAACTAAGTAAATCACACTTTAATTCTATAAGGCCCTGAGCACTTCCCCACAGAAGTCAAGAGGCCTCTGCTCCAGGTGCAGAGGCAGGCCCGAGTCATGATCAAGGGCCAGGCACACATATGCAGGGAGAGGAAAGATTGAACAGTATGTTGGACAAGAAACTGAGGCAGACAGCATGGGCTCAACACATTTTGCTGAAGCTCTTGGGGCAGACAAACTCCAAAACCTTGTCACATTATGGCTGTCTTTCCTCCCTTCTCCTCCCCACATCCCCTTTTAGGATTATCTTGCTGGACAAGGAGGGCTGCCTGAAGCCACAACTTCTCCTAGCGAAAGCTGGGACAGGAACACAGGAGCTCCAAGCCTGGGTAATGAAAAGCATTCCAAGCCCTAACTTTAGATCCCTTTCATACTATTACAGTTGGTTTTTTGACCCCACTCTGGTCAGAGGTCTGTCTTTTTGCAGGTTTAAGAAAACAACTACATACTCTTCCCATCCAATTCCATTTTGTTGAAAGCTGTTTCCTCACTTTACAGACACCCTGTGTTACCCTCGTGGATAATATGCATCTCACTATTTCACAAATATATACATTCAGAGTTTGTTTATTTGTTTATTTACCTTTGATGGGGAGGATTCTGCTGGGGCAGATTCTGGTCGTCTCCGTGGAGGAACAGGAGGGGGAACAGGCGTTTCATCAGAGCTTTTGTTAAAGCTTATGGATGATACTGAAGCAGATCCTGATGAACATTTAAAAATAAAAGCTTGAAGATGACTGCACTTTATATCCCTTTTGTTATTTTTTTCTGCTCGCCTTTAACAACAGTTCAGTACGTAATTGTTAACTTGTACTGAAGCATGCATAACAAATAAGTGTGAACAGAGGGGAGATAATTCAGTAAATTATCATCATAGAGTTACTTTGCTCAAAAAAAACAAACCAACCAATGCCCACCAACTAGCACCAAACCAGTTGTAAAGCATAAAAATATTTTTAATCACGCTGTTTAATTTCACACAGGGAACTTGAACAGAAAATCTCTTTCTGGCATCTGAGCAAACTGTTGTATTACGTTAGGATTTTCTCACTCATCTCTACTTCCCAAAAATACATATGGAGACTGAAGATGCTTGCATTACAGCAGCAGCATAAGGACTTAGGTAAACCTGAAGCTTAATGATGCAGAAAGAACTTCTTTTGGGGAAGGATGAGCCCAAAGACTAGGACTCAGTAGATTAAGGGTCAGTTTCCCAGTTTTGCTACTAGCCTGCAGCGTGACTTTTGCTGTGGGCAAGCCCATTCCCTTCTCAGTACAAAAATGGGGCTAACGTTATAGATGCTACTATGAGATCTTTGAGATGCATGGATTTAAACAAGCATTTTAAAAACTAAGCATTATTAGAAATACTTTACAGAGCAAGTAGTCTTCTCTAGCTGACAGAGAATGGAGAAAAGGCTGAGGTACCGACCCATTTAGGCATAAGTGTTGCATTTAGCAGAAGGCAGGATAGTATATAAGAGTGTTATTTAAATTTCACTTGAATTTATGCTTTCTTTTCTTTAAAAAAAAAGACTGACATTTAGTTGAGACCAGGTAAGTAGGTCTGGCACTGAATAAGGTAGCAGAGCTCCATTACCCTCACTATGTAGTACAAACCAGTGCCAAGCACATACACCACAAACTTTCCAGGTGATCCTTATTTTGCTAAAGCAGAAGTTTAGGTTTTGCTGCAAGAAGTAGGCTGAGAGCACATTCCACAGCCACTAATAATCTACTCCCCTTTCAGCATTCTGCTCTGACAATCGCTCTGCAGGGATTTTAAATATCACACAAGCAAGGCTCCTAATTCTACACTATTCCTTATTTGACAATCATTTTTAAGTTAACATTAACCAAAGTAAAAATGCACTGAGACTTGCTGTCCATACAACGAGACAAAAGTATGTACGGATATAATCACTTCTGAAGAAGGAAATGTGTTCGTGCCAGAAATAATCATTTAAGACCATTCTTGGATTTAGCACCTACTTGAATGGAAAGGACTCGAAGGGTCTGAGTCAAATACACTGCAGGCATCTGTAGTGCTAGAAGTGGCAGATGCTGGGGGTGGGGTCAGAGGTGTTCGTGGAGAATTGGGTGCAGATGCTGTACTTTCTGTTTCACTCTCAGGGATGCGACTGTAACTAATTTTTCTTGGCTCCTGTTGCAGTGGCGTAGGATGTCTCATGGTACCTGGTCTTGGGTTTGAAGGACGAACACCTGGAGACTTGAGGGGATAGCTGTATTTTTTTGGCTGCAAAGACATCAGGTGATAAATATCAGTTAAATATCTTGTAGCAGAATAAAAATGGACCTTTATAAGTCAAGTTACCTTCTCCCCATCACAAAAATTCATACAGTTTCATCTCAATGCTAATCAGTTCTTAAAACAAATCTTGCTACATTGTTGAAAGCACAGCTTTAAAGAGTCTATTAAGAAAGAATAAAATCTGAATACTAACAAATCTTGGTGGAGGTTTGGAATTTCGTGGCTCAATTTCCAATGACTTGTTGAACAGATAATCTGTGAATTCTTTCTCCATGCTACTTCCCATTGGATTCAAATTTTCAAAAAACCTCTGGAATACAAGTAAAAAGAGTACAGAATAAGCTACTTCTACAGGCTGGGTTCTAACGGCTTTATTATACAGTTGTCAAAGGTTTCAGAAGGAATACTAGGTAAGCAGTTTTAACTGAGAAAACAATCAGTAATGATCTCACTTAAACAATCAGTAACAATATCAAATATAATTGTTGTTTGTCCCACTATTCCCATTACCTTGATAAATCTCTTCAACTGACGACACACAGAAACCCCAAGGGTCTGCAAGGACTCCAGTGAAACCTACTTACATCATCCCATTTCTCACTGCAACACATTACAGCGAGGGAATGTAGCACTTCCAGCACATGCACATAACAATGGAATTAAAAATATGGTACAAAACCAGTTCAAATGAAAGGATTCCTTTTCTTTTTACAATTTGGAATAGCTTCACAATGGAGGGCTGGAGTCACATTTTTATACTGTAAAAAGGAAAATTACCTCTAAATTCTAACTTTTAGAGTCCCAAACAAAATTCTCACTCAAGAGACCAACCAGTTCCAGAGAAAAGCTGACTGGAAATCCCTTACTTAAATTTTTTACTCCTTTTGAACAGTAGCATGCCAGATACCCACATCTGGCCAGCACATGCTTCCAGCTGTTTTTATCAGTTTCTGAAAGTATTGCAAGGAAGCAAAAGCCCCCAAAGCACATCTTTGTATTTATAAAAATAGATCAGTAATAATTTACAGACCCTAGAGGATGTCAGTTTGAATGCTAAAAAAAAAATACACCATATCAAAAGAATCCTTGCCATTTTAGGGAGGGCTAGAGGTAAAAGGAAGTGTTGCTGTACCTTTAAGAAGCAGAATATAAGAACCTAGCTCCCTTCCCTTAAAGAAACTGAATGCCAGAGTCTCAGCCTTGGAAATCCAACAGCTCAAGCTGGCACACATTTAAAAATGGAAAATGAAGATAATCTTGCAAAAAAGTTATCAGAGCAAGGAGACGATCTATAGGAGTGGGCAAAATGACCTGCAGGCTACATCTGGCCTGACAATTGATCCTATCCAGCCTGCTGCCCCTTCACCCCCCAGATTCCCTCCCCTGACTAGCTTCCTGGATGGGGTGTAATGCAGTGTGTCAAGCAGTCATCCAACTCGCTCACCGCAATGAGCCATTGCCACTGCAGGGCTGCTCAGCCCAGGGCAGCACCCTCCCCTCACCCCCTCAACTTTCTTGATGTGGTGCAGCAGCTCAGTGTGGCAAGTGGCATGGCTACTCAGTGTACTGCACTGCGCCCAATCCCATGTGGGCCCAGCTGCCAGTGGTTGTGACGCTAGGACTGCACAGCACCAACAGGAAGCTGGGGGGGTGAGGTTTGGCAGGGGGAGGTAGAGAAACAGGAATTTGCACACTGCATGGCCTGGCCTTGGCTATGGCAGAGTAGAATGGCATGGAGCGCAGCCCTCTCTAAGGCTCCCAGAGGCAGCCAGATAAAACGAACTTCCCCCAGAACAGCTCACCAAAACTTCTTAAGTGGCTCTCCAGCCCAAATAATTGCCCAGCCCTGGTATATGGGAAAGATGGCTATGTAGGTTATCACAGACCATCTAAACCAAATGCAGTGAATATAGATCTGATGAAGAGCAAATCCATTAAAGATCACTGGGAAACAGGCAACAGCACAAGGGGAATGGTGGAAAAATGCAAATTCTGAAAAGAGCTTTGCTACCAATGCCAAGAAGGAACCCACTACAATATACTGTAAACAGAGACTGGGACTTTGGTACCTGACAGCCGCCACATCTCGTTCACTGCTATTACTGTGTCCCAACAGCTCTCTCTAGGACTTTAGATCCAAGAGTGAGAAGCTTGATGTTAGCAATAAATTTAATATCAACTCTAAAATATACCTTTACAACTCACCACAAAGTATCCTCAATATTTGGATATATAAAAATGATGCCACTTACTCTGATGTCAAATTCCACTCTTAAGCAGTAGGGCTGGTTCTGGTACTGCTGTATCTCCCCAGTGATTTCAGCTACTTTCCTTCGCTTGCTGAAGTTTATTAGCTCTTTTCCATGACGTTTTAGAAATTCAGGGTTGCCTTCTTCTGTTTTCAAGATGTTTGTCAAATAAATTCCTATAACAGTGCACAGAAGAAAGATTATGATTTCACAGTACAAAACAAGGAGAAAACAAACCATGGCTAAAACAGGAAGAAGGCAGGGTAGGCTTGTACATTATACAGTAACTAAATCAGAGATAAGCTATACATTTCTGATTTAGAATGTATCTGAATCTATATCAAAATAGGTATTGACATCTTTGACTTGAAATAGGAAAGCCTTTTAAAGAACTGAACTTAAGTAACGCAGTTATTTAGTGACAATTTTCTCTGTGGGACTCACTGACAGAATTGTGCCAAAATTCATGTAAGGGCAATATATTGAACTTTTAAACATGTCTTTCCTTGTAAACTGCCAGGTTGCATAATATGAAAATCAAAATAAAAAAAATCATAGCATGAAAATATATCAAAAGTCTGAAAATCAATCCATTGCTCATGAAGCTCATGCCACCTATATTGAAGAATGAAAATCTAAGAGTTTGAGTTTCACAAGATAATGAGATTTCATGCATCAGAGGAAGCCTAAGAGTCTTCTCACAAGCACCCTTTTCCCCAGAGCCACAAAGCCCTGGGCAACTCACATCCACATCACTTTGAGATTAGGTGTAAAACATGTTATGTTAGGTTTTGCCCATGACATTAGCTCATGATGCAGCAGTCTCCTCTACTGGCCTCAGAAACATTTAACAGCATAGGGAGTAGAGAAAGAGCACATACCTCTCAGCAAAACGCATGTACCCCAGTTTGAAAACCAGTGCCCTGTGGCAAGTTTTTATAGCCAATTGTATCTGAGAGGTCCAGCTCATATGCATTCATTTTGCCCAAGCCCAAAAAGCCATCACCACCATTATTCCAAGTCCTTGTTTGAAAATGGCTTGCAACAACAGAACACTGCCAGAGTTGGAGATTCAGTGGCAAGCTTATCAGCAGGGATCCTGGTTTTCTCCAATTAAAAACTGCAAATTCTCTGATTAAAAATTCTAAATTTTCTGATAAAAAGAAAAGAAAATCCGTGATAAAAATTAAAGGCCCCCCACAGCCCTGCCCCAGTGCTGCTGGTGCCCCACGTTCCCCCCCACAGCCTCAACAGCCCTCCTGATGCCCCTCACAACAGCCCCCCAGACATAGACATGGAGACACAGAAGCACACAGACCCTGACACCCACCCCAGCAGGTAAGTGTGTGTGGAGGGAAGAGGCGGGGCAGGACAGGGGAAAGGTAAGGTGCTGGGGGATAGATTAAGAAGGTGGGGAGTGTGCCCCTGTGCCCACTCTCAGGAGCAGAGCCGGAGGCTGAGGGCAGGGGTGCCAATCTGCAGGCTGCATACACGGTGGCCAGCCTGAAAGGGTTCACATGAGGAGGCCGCCACTGCAACTCTGTCACTGCACCCTGCATTACCATCCCACGGCCACCTGCATGGTTTTGTGGGCAAGTGGAGCAGGGCATGGCAGTGCAGTGGCAACCACTGCTGCACAGCTCTGGGCCTGGCTCCACTGTGGCAGCGGGAGGTTTTCTAGGCAGTGGCTGTCACCACTGGCACACAACAGCCATTGCTACTTACCTGTGGGGCCACCCATGTCAGTGGTGATGGCCACTGTGTACAGAACCTGCTGCCACCACGGACCTGTGCCTGGTGCTGTGCAGCCAGCTGCACGGCGGCAGTGGTGGCGGCCATGGTCACTGCGCAGTGCAAGATGGTGGTGGGGGGTGGCTGTGTGGTGCCTGGCTGCCACCACACTGCTGCTGCCCCCTTCGGCTGGCCGCACAGCTCTGGGCACAGCTCCGCAGTGGTGCGGGGAGGTTTTGTAGGCAGCGGCTGTCACTGCTGGCATGGACCTGCAGGTAAGTGGCAGCGGCAGCAGCCACTGCAGAGCCAGCCATGGAGCTGTGCAGCCGGCTGCATGCCAGCCTCCTTGCCCCCCTCCCCTGGGCAGGCAGCCAGGCAGCATGTGTGCCCTGCTTCACTTACCTGCAAAGCCCCCCGCATAGGGGCACCCCCCCCCCCCCCCCCCCCGCCCCCCTAGCCCCCAACCATCTTCCCCAGCTCTGCCCCACAGCAGCACTTACCTCTAGGCTCCAGGGCCAAAGGGCAAGTCTGAGCCTGAGCCCAGGCTTGGCTGCCTCAGAGGCTCAGGCCCTGCCTTTCCCCCTCTCCCACCCACTCTGGGCAGGGCTGGGGATTTCCCACCCTTTCTACAATCAGCTCTTGCAAGCTTGTTCCAGCCTCCAAAACTCTTTGCAAAACCGAAGAATCCGCAGATTTCTCTGCTAAAAGGGGAAATTCATGTTTTCTCCGATAAAAACAGGGAATCTGTGGTTTTCTCCATTTTTCCCGTGGGAAACGGAAAACCCGTATCCCTGCTTATCAGTGAACTGGCTCAGAAGGAGACTGAATACAAAGTAGCACTTGGAGAAGTCAACTGTGGCAGTGTATACACATTCAAATATCTGGGAGAACTCTCTTAGGTTTGTTCTTGTGGTAGAAAAAACTTAACCAGAGCCACAGGTACAAACATTCACCTGCTGAAGCCTTGAAAAGTGAAGAGCTTGCAGTGCTGACACTGCAGCTGGGGGAGGAGGGAGGCAAGGGTGCCCCTGTGCACACATTTCAGTGTGCTCTGCAGACTCCCTTAGTCTGCCTGGCAATAGATGGCAGCAGTACATAGGGCAGTCCTGATAAGCTGCTTATGATCAGTCTGGGTTAGCCAGCGCTTCCATGCAGCATGATATGAGATTGTGAAGGGGACATGTTCTGCTCCCTGATGGAGCAGCAAAGTGCAGCAAGTAACACATTATCTCCTTAAGGGAGGCAGGGGTGTGGGGAGGGGGAAGGAGAGGGGAGGAATGCTGAAGGACTATGTTCTCTTCTGAGAGAAGCCACTGCATGCACAGACATTCACTCTCTTGGGAGTAATTTAACCTTGGTTGTTCCCAGATTGTTGTTTATGAAAACTGCCGCTCTAAGAGAAAAATACTGTGGAGCTTTACTTAGAACAAAGTTCCTTCCCTAACACTACCATGATTTTTTCCTTTTCAAAAGGGTCCTTGGAAAAAAAAAAATCCTGTTCTCTGAAACAGACACTGATCAAAGCAGGGTTATTTTTTAAAGCCCTGCACACACAGATATTGCATAAATATCCTCCCATGTGTTTGGAGAAAAAAAATACTTTTTCTGAATAGATCCATTTTTTCAGGCCAATGTTTTAACATTTTGAAAAAGGGTTTTATAAAGGGAAGCTTGTTGCAACTGAAAGAGGAAGAGGCTACTGCTTCTCTGTAACAGTACAAGCTTGGAGGTTTTCTGTAGAGTCTTAACCTCTTTTCACCAAAGTCAACATTAAAATTTTGCCACCGGTTTCAACTGGAGCAGGGTATTTCTTTTATATTTCTCGTCTAGAATCAAACTTTCTTACCAAAGAAAGGCACACATGGAGGATTAATGGACCTGAGTTTTGCCAAGTATTTCTTATAGTGATCTTCACTCAACTCATGAGCTTCTTCTAAAATCTTCTTTTGACGACTTGGAATTTGCTGAAAAGACATACAGAAAGGTCAGGAAGAAAGGCTTGGTAGTCCAGTGCCCAACTATGAATTTGGGAGCCACAGGTGTCACTGGCTTGTGGGACTATAAAGCCCAAAGAGGTTAAGTGACTTATCTAGTTTCCCATCTGTAAAATGGGAAACTAATAAAGAAAAAAGCTACATTGGTGCAGAATATTCAACATTCTACAAGCCATTAAGTAATTTAAAGCTTTTAGAAATACTGTATAACACCAATATTATGAAAGAAAAATAACAAGGATTAGAAAGCCTTGATAATTCATCTTGCTGCTATAAAACAGGATTAACATCAGGTATAAGAAAAGTCCATCTTATGTGAACAGCCCTCACTAAACAGGGCCAGAGAGCATTTCCTGGTTGAATCTCATTGGCACAGGGAAACACAAACAGCCCAGTTAGCTATGGAAAGATTCAGAGGCCTTAGCTGCATACAGACATTCATTTTTACTGGAACAAAATGTATTCAGGTAGAAAAATAGCCCAGGAGTTGACTTATACAGATGTTCTTCCAGCCCCATGGCAGGAGAAGTTCACAGGCAAGCTCTCCAGCTTGGAGGGGGGGGGGCACTGCAGGGTTACTTCCTGGGCCACCCCAACTCTTAGAGCAGTGGTTCCCAAACTGACAGATTGTCTACCACCACTTTAAAATGATACAATCTTAAGTGCTACCAGCAAATTTTTCAGTTCAACATTAAGTACCACCAGCAAATTTTTGTTATATAAAGTAAGTATAATAAATCTGTTATCTGCGTACCACTGGTGGTATGTGTACTAGATTGGGAACCACTGTCTTAGAGGATCCTCCTCATTAATTGGAAAGCCTGCCCTCTCCCTGCCTGGGAAAGTGGCTGGCTGCCAAGCAGCAGTTGGCAGCTGCTGAAAAGCAGCAGCCGTCACAGACAGCCAAGGAAGGTTCATGCCACAGGAGAATGCCCCTCTCCCTCCAGTCAGGAGGCTGGGGGTGGGGCATAGGGGGGCATTCCTCCCATGGTGGGAACCCTCCCAGATCTCCCCTGCAGGAGAATAGCTGCCCTCCTTGCACTCTTATGGACTGACCCAGAGGAGTGCCAGGGGCAGGGAACAGTACTAAGCTACCGCTGCAAGGCTCCAGGAGCCTTGCCACAGGGGTACAGCAGCCTGTCTCTCCCTGTACTACTCCAGGCTGACCCAAAGGAGTGCTAGGGGAGGCTCTTGGTTCCACCACTCAGCTGAGCAGCAGGGGAGAGGGACAAGGGGGGGAGAAGGGGCTGGGAGGCAGGCTTTGGAGGCTTTACCTAAGGCTGGCTCCAGACTCCTCTGGCTTTTAAAATTGGTTCCTCTTGCTGCTCAGCTGTGTAGCAAGGGAATGGAAGGAGAAGCTGCTGGGTGCTGCCAAGAGCTCGGCTGCTGTCCGTATCAGCTTTTCAACTGCCACCTGAGCAGTGGGGGGAGGCAAGGGGAAGCCATGGGGCAGTGCCTCAGCAATGCCCAGGAGCCAAGCAGAGGCCGTAGAGTGGTGTGACGTGGCAAAGCCCTTGCCTGTTTCTCACTCTAGGGTGCAGGTGAGGCTGTTCCTCCCCTCCCCTCCCCTCTATTAACAGGGGAGGGGGGAGGAAGGGGGGAAGAAACAGGGGGAAGCAATTGCCTTGGGGCCCAGCACTGCAGAACTGGACCCCAGAGGCCTGGTGCTGCCAGCTTCTGCCCCAGTACTAGGATCAGCACTGGATCCAGGGCACATGACCTGGGGCTCCCCATGGGTCTGGAAATTTAGCAGCAGAGGAGCAGTGCCACTGCCCCGCCCCCCTCCCCACTGCCAAATTTTCTGGACTTGTGGGGAGCACCACAGGGCAGCCGACATAGTGCTATGGGCTGGATCTAGCCTGCAGGCTATGGGTTGATCACCTCTAGCCTATACCAGGATGGCATCATGCCCCTGCCCACCCATATCCACAGGCACACTCCAAACCCAGAAGTGGGACAGTGAAGTCAGTCCAGGTTTGAATCCTGTAGCCAATTTCAAGCCCTCAGTCTCCAGCATGCTTGTTAGTGGCCTCCCAGTATTGTCCCCGAGTGGGCTCACCAGCATACTTCTGGGCTGGCATATGCCCGCTTAGGAACATCTTGGCCAAGACATGCTGTTGCTGCAGTATGGACAAGCCCAAATGAACCCTTCTGGCAGCAGGAGACTATTTCCTGTTGTCTGCAGATAGAAGGTTCCTCCACTTTCCCCAGGAACTACACTGATTCTTATGCTTTTCCATTAATCTGATTTTTATTTCCCATCTTATTAGCTGTTGCATCTTTGGAATACTAACTTGAAGATGCTAGTCATTTTTTATACCTCAGTGTCTGCCTGTCTTGGTCTGCAGTGAATCTGCTTGAGACCCAAGACTGAAATCTTCAACTGCACTGGAAGCCAGGAAGACATTTACAGCTCTACTTTACACTTTACTTCACTCCTTTGTAGGGAACTTTGCCTTCATTGGGGAAAGCAGAAATATGCAACACACTTATTTTTGTGGCACAGTGCCTATTCTGCCGGAATATTTGCTCTTCCTGCTTTATTGCCCAGGTATGTAATCTGGCTGCTTGCCCACATCGGACAACCTATGCTGCACACTATGCTGCAGAGCCTTGGTTGAACTAAGTCATGACTGTTTGGACCAGTTGAGAGGACAAAGCTTTCACAATACAAACATAGCTAGGGGTACAACATCTGGAGATCTGCTGTCATAACTTGAAGTTTAGTATGCACCTGGAAAGGCGCACAATTGGATTTTCAAATACGTACTGATAATTCACTTTCCAACTAACCTTAAAGAAAAGAAAAAAACCCTCCACAAAGCTTGTTTTACCTGTGTAAAACTTACCAAAATTCAAGTTAAAAGTTTTAACTGCTTTTGTATTAGTCAAAAAGCCTAACAGCTGAAGAAAGCTAAGAAACTATTTTTTTCCCTTGCCTGAAAAATCCAAAGTGGCTTAGATTAAGTCTTTGCCATGCCTGGTTTTTCCTCAGACCTGACAAATGCCCTGCATTTGGAACTTGTTTAAGGCTATCCCAACCATGTAGTTGATCCAATGAAAAAGATCACCCAAAGAAATCTTTGCCTCTTGCAAGGTGACTGAAAGAATTTAACTTTCCAGAAATATTCATCTCTGGTCAGAAATTATACAAATTGCAGCCCAAAAGACAAATAGGTTATTATGGAAACTATTAACACAATCTTTAACCACACTACTTGCTTCTTTCGACTAATAAGCCATGAGAAATATATTTACTTTTCCCATAATCTTTCCTTTTGTTCTGAGTATTAACCAGATCTTGTCCTCCATATATTTCTATTTGCTTTTAAATATTTTTTAATAATTATGAACCTATGTATTGAAGTTTCTCCTCCTCTTCTTGAGAAACAGCTTTGACTCTGCCTTTCACAGCTTTCTTCCTACTATCTACCTTTCTCTCCTTTATTCTTTCACTCATTTTCTGCTTTTTCCCCCTCAATCCTTGCAGTTTGTTCTGATTCTTTTGATTGGTACACTGCCTGCGCGTGGACATGGTGAACATCAGGTACAACAGAATGGTACTGAAAGGAGGTATCTAAAGGAAAAGGATGTTGACCTAACTTTATGCTTGTAAGGAAAAAGCT